TTCTGGTCACATTCTATGGACTTAATTGCTTCTTCTTTTCAACTCTTATAGCGCATTATCTGTACCTCTCAAATACATTTATTATCTCATCTCTTCTTTTATTGTCCTGTATCCATAATTCATTCAGTGGACCCTGTGTAGTGCCTGCCAAGTGTCAGGTGATGTGCTATGCACTGGGGATGCAGAGTTGAATGAGACCTGACTTCTAACCTCAGTGAGGCCACAATCTAACAGACAAGTCAGACATACGGAAAAGTCACATTGACCCTAGGTGATGGAAGCTTATGAGAGATGAATAACCAGAGTGTAATTCCAGAGAAGAGGTCAGATGCCAATTTAAGGGTGTGTGTGTGTGTGTGTGTGTGTGTGTGTGTGTGTGTGTGTGTACTCATTCTATATACCATGGGCCTTTCTAACTATATTTATATATACACCCACATACATGTCTAGGGACTTCTCTCCACACTCTATAGGTATGTGTCTGTAGGTATATAGCTTATATTAAGAGAGATACTATTTACTCATGAGTTATTCCAATTTATTTTCATTTCTCCTGCTGTCTAAAAGCCCCCAGGATTGTAGCCAGTTAGGTAAAAAATGAGCTTATTTGACAAACCTGGGTCTCCCAGCAGTTTATCTAGTTCTTTTCTCATTCCATATCTGTTTCCTATTACCTTCTCCAAGAACAAAGACAACAAAAGTTACCTTCACCCTTGGGTCTTGAGCGCTGGCCCTCTCCCTGAGTCCCAGAGTTTAGCAGGTGCCTTTCTAATTCACCCAAGAGGAGCCCAGTAAATATTTGTGAAATTCATGAGTAAATGCTCAACTCCTTGAGGTCAGGGATATGCTTTTCTCCTATGTGTATGACTACTCATTGCCTCACACACAACCAGCTCACATCAACATTTGCAGAATGGAGGAGCGTTGTATTCGAGCAGGGCAAGCATGGCGTGTCGCATGGGTGGGAATGCTGGCTCTGTCTCCTGCTAGTTGTATGCCTTGGTGGGGGGCAACTTGCTTAGCTCTTGGGACTCAGGTTTCTCATCAGTGAAACGGGGGTATTATGTTACACTTGCTCAGTTTCAAAAGTTTGTTGTGAGGATTGAGAAGCACCTAGTGTAGTGTTTATTACATGGCAGGAGTTCAATTAATGTTTGCTCACTGCTTTTCCTTTGTTGACTTTGACTGTCCGCCCTTCTCTGGGGGCATCTGCTGAAGAGGAGTCAAGTCAGGTTTTGCTATGGATCCTGGACTAGCCCTGCTACCCTTCCTGTGCCACATCCCACCCTCTGGTGATTCCCGAGGTACACCCGTGTCTTCCCCTTCTGATGTGTGTACTTGCCCAACAGTCTGGGGCTTAGTGGGTTTACTGCTTCTGCTTTCAGTTTTCTTCCCTGCTAATTCCCTCCTCTCTGGAGGCCTTTGGAAGGCTCTGAGTGGTAAGAGAAGCCAGGGATGGGCAGGCTTTGTTTCACTCTTGGTTTTTGTTTGCTTGGCACAGAATATCTTAAGGCTAAAGGTTACATTATCATCTCTTCATTGCTCTATTATTGTCCTTCTGTGCTGGCTCCTGGGGAAAGGAAGCTTCCAGCCCCAAATTCTCAGTGTTTGGACCTTTGTTCTGAGGATGCAGGGGTGATTTGGCTGAGACATCTTCCTCCTACATCTCTTACTGCGTGCTTTCTTTGTAAGGTTCAACTCCACTTAAACGGAGGGATGCTTCTCTAGATGAGGATCTCAGCATGGTGGAAGGGTGGGCTCACCACAGCACAGAGTTGGGAGAGGAATCATGGTAGGATGGAGTCTGTCTCGAGTTTGGTTCTCCAGTTACCACAGGAAGATTTCTGAACCCTACCCAGGACCTACCAAGTTAAACCTGCTGGGAGTGGGACCAGAGAATCTGCATTTACAAGGCTTCCCAGTAACGGTTAAGTACCAGCTCTACTCATGGAGTGGAAGAATAGTGCTCTGGGCACTTCGTCAAGGTCACACATTATCGAGACATTAACTGGAGTACTGTCCTCTCTCTGAGCATCAGTTTCGTCCTCTGTACAATGAGGGAAATAGACTAGATTAATACCATCCCCGTCTGAAGACTGTGATTTATTACTAAAACAGCATTATCCTTCATTGATTGACTCAAAAATGATTATTTTTAGGAACCTTTGACATATTGAGCTTACCTGTTAGGGAGACAGAAGAACAAACCACAAGTCCCGCCTCAATCTAGTTGAGAAGGCAAATCCTGTGAGATCCAGAAGGGATCGGGATAGTGTTTGACTAAGTGCCAAGTTCTGTAATTCCGTTTTAAGTGCAATAGGACTTCAGAAGAGTGAGAACTCTGATGGCTGGGCTGGTCCTGGGAGGCTGCCTGGAGAAGGTGGGCTTTAAGTTGTTTCTTGAACAACAGGCAGGCACATGCAGGTGATAATAAAAGGCTGAGACATAGATGATACAACGCAGCATGAAAGAAAGCAGGCAGAGATGTGAGAACAGGTTTGGTTTATTTGCAGCCCCTTGAGAAACTTGGATTGTTAAAGCAGAAGACAGCGTCTTGAGAACTGTGGAAAAGTGGTTGGAGGAGTGTGTGTGTGTGTGAGTGTGTGTGTGTGTGTGTGTGTACATATGTGCATGTGCATGTGTGTATGTGTAGTGCCTTACAGAACAGGCTCAGGAGTCTGGAGTTCATCCTTAGGCAGAGGGAACCAACAACGATTTCTAACCAAGAAAGTGTACAAATCAAGAGCCAGAATTGGAACTATCTACTATGAAGGCAGAAATAATAGTCATAGAGGTATGGGAGGATGTGTCTGTCTGGAGCCCCCAAGAAGCCAACACCAACCTTAGATTAGATAGACAAGAAACATTAAGGACAGAGAAGCTGGAGGGAGGGAAGAAGAGGGTCTAAACTTTGAGTAAGGAGACAGATAGAATGAGAAACAGCTCTGGGTTCTATCCAGGGCTTTCCAGACCCAGTTGTTTGTTAGAAGCTCTATTGGTTAAGAGGAACTCTTACCCCCTACACCTCTTTCTTCTCTCTATGTGGACTTTGTCCTTTTTGGAGATTGTTTCATGTCCATGAAGGCTTGATATTGGGAGAAAATGAAATGGCCTGATTTGCTCCTGCAGAACTCTGGATGGGTGTTCTGACCTATTTCTAGAAGAGCCATTTGGAGTTTGTTTGTCCAGAATTTGTGTTGGCCAGCACATAGCCAACCCACGGTTTTACATAGTGACTGGGTGAATGCCTTTGTAGATGAAAGAAGGTAGAATGAAGGGGAAATGAAGTCTGCTGTTTGTGTGTAGGTGTGTGTGTTAATCCAGCAAACGGGAATTACTAGTGCATTCCTAGGCATGTGGTTGGGGAGGGTGGGGATAAATCCCTTGCCTTCATTAGCCCATGAATTTTATAAATGAGGAAACTCTCTGTGAGTAGGAGAGGCAAGGGCCACTGAGTGCCTGTGGGGAGCAATTCTCTGCACTGGATACACACTCCTTGCTGTTGCGCTGTGTTAATAGGACAGGTAGTTGGTAGATTTTCCTGTTCTGCCAATAGCCATGTCATTGATGTTTTTCTTGGCTTGGCTCTTTCTTGCCCACCCACCACTCTCCACCGAAGAATGCACTCTGAGAAGACTCCTTCAGTCATGGCACTGCAGAGAACTTGAACATCCCAAACCAACTTTGCCATGGACTCTCTCTGACCTATAATGGGTCTCATCCTTGCCTCTAATTTCTTCTTAGCTTACATAAAGGGAATGGAAATTGTGCTGACCGACCCCATGGGGTGCTGGATGAGAATACATCTCAAAGTGAGTGTTCTGTTGTCAGTGAAATGCCATAAAAATGTTCAATATAATGGCTGATTATTTTTCTTTAATCTTAAATAGATACCTAGAATGGGAAAGTTCCATCTTGGTAGCAGAAATTCATTATCTTGGAAAGAGTTTAATGACTGCTGTGCAAATGAACTGAAGGAAGTTAAATTGTGGAATGGGAAGGAGCTGAGAAAAGTGAAATGAGTTGTGCATTAAATTTAGATAAACACAATTATGTGTAACTGGATTATCACGTGTGCAGGCAGGCGCTGTATATTAGGCACCTGCGTTTTGATTAAAATCGATTCAGGTGCACGCGCTTGAAATCCTTGTCGATTCAGAGTTGTCCCTGAGCCACTGCCCAGGCACACATGGGGCAGCCAGGGAAACGTCTGGTATCCCGGTCTCCTGCTGGAGAGGTTTAAAGGGCATAGGACCAGACTGAGCAGCCCAAGACCATTTCAGGAAACTGCTAACGCTAACAGAAAGTCCCACTGTCTTTCACATACAGCTTCCTTCTGGGTTTCTTCATTTCAATTGAGTCAGGAAAGTGGTCCTGGAGTCCAGGGGAGTCCAATGACCTACTTACTCCAAGACGAGGACAGATGCGGAATGGTAGATGGCAGATGATATCAGAGGATGTTGGGGACTGGGCCTGCCTGCCATTCAAGTCTCTGTGGCTGCTGAGGCCTTAGTGATGGAAACACAAAAATCTCTTTGAACCTCCCTGTAGATGGATAGAATTAGGCCCAGTTCCTTCTTACTCTTTTAGGTCCAAGTCTGTAAGTCAGAGTCATCTTCAGATCAAAAGCGAGCCCAGCCTCTGATCCCCGGGTGTCTGTAGGAACCATCAGAGCCAGCCAGCCGGTACCTCGCTTTCAAGGAGGACAGATGTAGAGAAACAACTGCCGATACCCAGTTAATTCCTCTTGGCATATTTTATTTCAAATGGAAAGCATCCTCAGGATTAAAATAAATGCTACCAGTTATGGGGATGCATTAAATTAATAACTGTTTTCCCTTGCTTGATCCTATAATACCCCTCCACTCAACGGATAAATACTAAGCCCTCCTCTGGGTGATTTGAGATGAACTGTATATTGTTACACAAACTAAAGTCAGCTTCCTTTTTTTCTCCCCCTTTGTTCCTCTCCTCTGCCCTCCTCCCCTTCCCCATCGCAGGTGATACTTATCCTGACCAAGCTATATGACTTCAATCTGGGGAGCGTGACTGAGAGCTCGCTGTGGAGGTAAGTGGATTAGAGGTTCTTAACAAGCTACTCTGGCCTGGCTCACAAAAAGAATGCCAGCCACACAGTTGGGAAGCACGTTTTGGAAGAGATAGAAAACAGTCCTCCTCATGGGAGACCTCTTTAATGCCTGGGGTGGAATGGATGGCCCCACCTGTGAACTCCTCTGGCACTCTGCTTATCATTTTGGGGGTCTGTCACACCTTCTGCTTGGCAGGGTTGTTGCTCTTGTGTTCCTGCCATGTCTCATTCTGCTTGAGGAACACACGTCTGGTTAGAGAGAACGGACGAGCCTGCCCAGAACAAGGAGAGCCTGCTGGAGGCCGGATTCCTGACTTGGGTGTGAGTCTTGGCCCGCGGACCGTTTCTAGTCCTTTGCATCTGTGAGCTCTGGTTCTGACCCGTACTTGTGGTAATAGACACATGTGGGGCTCAGGTCCACACAGTGGCCTTCGTGGGCTCCTAAAAAAAAAATCAACATATATATGTGTTAGTAAGTTTAATGTACATATTTAATAAATACTATATACTTAACAAGTTCATATATTTAATAAATGTTTACTATATATTTAACTTCATATATATTAAAATGTATATTGGTAATACACATATTTTAATACAGAGAGAAATGTATATTTTATGGCAGCATTGGTGTAAAGATAAATGTATTAATATAGTGTATGAAAACTTTTTTCAGCCTAAAAGTTCATTGAAATCTTGCCATTTGCAACAGTGTGGATGGAACTAGAGGGTATTATGCTAAGTGAAATACATCAGTCAGAGAAAGACAAGTATCATATGATTTCACTCATATGTGGAATTTAAGAGACAAAACAGATGAACATAGGGGAAGGGAAGGAAAAATAAAATAAGATAAAGACAGAAAGGGAGGCAAACCATATGAGACTCTTAACTATAGGAAACAAACTGAGGGTTGCTGGAGGGGAGGTGGGTGGGGGGGATGGGGTAACTGGCTGATGGACATTGAGGGCACGTGATGTGATGAGCACTGGGCATTGTATGCAACTGATGAATCACTAAATTCTACGCCTGAAACTAATACTAAGCCCTGTGCCCATTGTGCCTACTGGGTAAGTCTGTTCTGTTGGGATGCTGGTCGCAGGGGATGGGGAGAGCGAGGATATAGGTGGGTTCGGTCAGAGAGAGCTTGAATGAAGCCGTGACCTGAGGCGTTGCTCTGGATGGGGAGCACCGGTGCACTCACCCTTCTGTATGCCCCACGCGCAGGCGTGCACACATGCACATACTCAGTGCCGACAGTCACACAGGGCGACAGCAAATTGCATCAGTCACCGTGAGTCGGCACTTCACACTCTGGCAAGGCTGTGTGTGTCCATCCCTTTTGCTTCGTCATTGGTAAACCCTGGGGAGGACACTGTCCCCAAAGGCCATTCACTTGGCTGCGTCATCATCCCCAGAGCCTTGTCCTGAGGGTTTCCTGTGGTCTTGGAACCAGACGGGGCTGGGGCTTGAGTATCTGTGTGCCTTGCTTCTTCTTCATCTGACCTGTTTGCAGAGGACTAGCCAGAGTCTGTTTCCCAGGGAGGGGGAGCAGTTAGAGCATCTATTAAATATTTAGCGGTTAATTGCTCATATCGACTCAGGCCTGCCTCCATTTGCACAGGATGTCCAAAACCTAATTTTGCTGCTCAGTGAGAATTGGCAGAGATATAAGTAACCGGGGTTCGTCTAATAGATGAGAACATGCCTATTTCCACTCACACAGGACTCCCAGGGAATTAGAGCCTCAGAAACCTTCCCCTCAGGTCCAATCCCAGTGATATTGTGCTGATACCTTAAGCCCGACTCCCATGCTGTCTTCTGGGGGCAAATAATGAAACAAGCCAGAAAATCCTGTCCGTACAATGGGCAAGAGCTCTACCTGACATCCCATGTTTGGCTAGTTCTAGGGGCGGGCCAGGCGAAGCCAGGGAACCCAGGCCAGGTGCTTACAGCTCGAGACCCTTGTGTAATAAAGTGTGTGGCCTTTGGTCATAATAGCCAGTATGTTCCCTGGGGTGTAGCAGAGACTGCAGGCTGTCGAGTGGTCCCGAGAACACCCTGATGTCTACTTGCCAGGATTCGGGTCGCACCTCGCTCGCCCAAAGAGCTCTGTAACTACAGGAACCTTACTTAACCTCTCTGTATCAGTTTCCTGGGGCTGCTGTAGCAAAGTACCCCGGACTGCGTGCCCAAAGCAGCAGAAATGTGTTCTCTCTCAGGTCTGGAAACTTGAAGTCTGGAATCAAGGTGTCTTTAGGGCCACACTCCATTGGGAGGCTCTAGGGAGCACCCTTGCCTCTTCCAGGCTCGGGGTCTGCTGACATCCCCTGTGGGTGTCGTACTCCCTCTCCACCTCTGTCAGCCACCAAGGCCCCTCCTCTATGCCCTCTCCTCTCCTGTTCCTTATGAGGACACTTGCCATGGCAATTAGGCCCCCAGGATCATCCAGGATGATCTCATCTTGAGATCCTTAATTACACCTGCAAAGATCCTTCTTTCACACAAGGTTCATCACAGGTTCTGAGGATGAGGATGTTGAACGTATTTTTTCCGGGTGGTCACCATTCAACCCATTTCTCTTTCCCTGAATGTAAGTTGGGAATAGTGCAGTAGCTCCCTTTGCTCCAACCATGTTGTCCTTGCTGTTGCTGAGACACGCTACCTTCTCCCCATCACAGCCCTTACCCTTGGCTCTCTGCTTTCCTCGGTGGGGCCACGGGGCTGGACAGCACCTCACTTCTTACACTCTCTGTTCGCCTAATCAGGGAGGCCTTTCCCTCGGACTTCATATTCTATCACTCAGCTTGCATTTTCCTCCTTAGTACTTACCACCATCTGGCATGCTAAATATTTTACTTATGGATTGATTTATTATCTGCCTACACCCACTAACATCTAAGCTTGTGGAGGGAGAATTTTTGTCCATTTTAATTCAGGGCTGTACTCTCAGCACCCAGAAGAGTATCTGGCACACAGGAGATCCTTAATGTTTGCTCAGTGAATGAATTAATGGATGGATTGCAAGGATTAAATGAAATAATAAATGTACAAACCCTTAAGACAGTGACTCACACTTAGAAAATGTTCACTTAATTGTAATGACTAATGATTACTATAACCCTCTGTGTGTAGTGTTCATTCCGTTATCGACTTTGTTTATAAGGATCCACTGATGCCAGGGTCCGTGTGGTGGAAATTATAGGGCACCAACGGGATGTATTCTGTGTTGTGGATGAATTAGCAGAGATCTTCAGGTGATCAGGAAAGGGAGAAGATTGATTTAGATTGTTGTTCCTTGTGCGGATTGGAGGGAACTGAAGCATCAATTTCTAGTGACACAAGGATGTTCTTTTGTAGATAAGATAATCTGAGCTGGGTGTTAGACTGACGAGTGGGTTATGATTTGGCAAATGATAAAGTGGAAAAGTGTCTCTAGCAGAGGGCAATGGCCAGGTAAGGCTGGGCCGCAGGAGAGAAAGGAGCCAAGCAGGAGGCAGAGCAGCTTGCCTTGCACCAGGGAGGAAGGGTTTGGGGTCTCATCATGTGCACAGAAGGGGCCAAACCAAAGAGGGTAATGCAGAGTGTGGTTTATAGAAAATAGACTCAGACGGTGTGATTTGGGATTTGGAAAGCTGGTGGATAATGTAGGCTTTCCCTCTGGGTAGATGTTCTATACGAATGTATTTCTGTGCTGTGTTTCCAGGGGTCCATAGGTCTGATAAAACCCTGCTTAGCACCCCCTGGAGAGGACTGGAGTGAGAAAAGGGGCTGCTTCTAAACTTCAGGGGAGTTTTCCAGTGTGCTGGGGCCTCAGAGTTTCTTCAAACCTTTCATTGTCTGCCCTACTCATCCCCTAAAGATCTGTGTCTCGCATTCTCTTTTCTGTCCTGATAATGATGATGTATTTTGCAGTTCGAGCCTAGAGCACTGTGATCTCCCTCACTAATACAGTGTGCAGAGAAAAGAAACTAAATTAAACACACACCCTTTCAGTTTCATGATCTGGCCCAACATGCTTAACCAAGTTGAAATTGAATTTGGGAATTCTTCAGTTTTCTGTATAGGAATAGCCTGTCATGACAAGATGACATTCCCTGCCAGGTTACAGTGTGGTAGAATTATTCGCCTCACTGGATTAATAATTCAGAGGCCATCTACTTCTAAATAGACAAAAGACTGTTTAAAAGCATTCAATAGGGGGCCGGTAGCTTGGCCCCCGTGACATTCTTTCTGAAACTCCTTGGTGCTGTTACACTGAAAGGGGTCAAACTTTGTTCTCTGCCACCGCAAGGATGGCTGTGTAAGCTGGTTATTTGCACAACCATCTGTTGGTATCCCTTAGTCAAAGGGCATTTTCCGTATAGGATTCAAGCTTATAGACGAATGAGGTTGGGGACTGACATTTTTTAAAAGACCCAGGGCTTCACACTCAGGGCATTTTCAGTCCATAATGTGTCAAGTCTGGAGGCTGCCCATCAGTGAGGAGGGGTGCTGACACCTAGCACTGTTAGAGTTCATAGAAGCCTGACCCAAGGAGGAGAGATGCAATAAAAGCAGGGGGCCCAGCATCAGTGGATCGGTTTCCTCCTCATCGAAGTAATTACGAATGGAACCTCTGGGACTAATGGCCTAGGTTCGAGTCCACGCTCCTCCGCTTAGCCACTGAGTGACCTAGAACACGTTTCTTCAGCTCTCTGTGCCTCCGTGTCCTTACTGTACCATGAGGACCATACTGGCTCCCACCTCACAGCATGGGAATGGGGTTTCGCATGAAATAAAATGCATAAGCTGCCTAGAGAAGTGCCTGGCACACAGTGCCTACCCGTGGAAAACACGCAGGGACAGTTGGTCATCATCATGTCACCTGGTAGCTGAGCTGCTTCTCTCTGCTAGCTCCCCTACCTGACAACAGCAGGAGACACACTGTGCTCTTAGAAAAGCAACTGGCCTGGGGCACCTGGGTGGCTCAGTGGGTT